CGAGGGAGGGACGGACAGTGAGCGGGGCGGCGAGAGCGAGGGAGGGAGCAGGGCAGGGAGAGCGAGGAGCGGGTGAGGACACACAGAGGGAGGCAGAGAGTGAGGGCACGCAGCGGGATACAGAGAGTTGGTTGCGGGAACGTAAAGAGAGATTTCAAGTGAAGGTAAGCAGGAGGGTAGAGCGAGAAAGCACGGAGTCGGCAGAGGGCTGGAGTTTGTACCAACAGTCAGCAGCGTCAGACTAATGGTCTCTCACCATGCGGAACTGTGCCTGCGCCTTTTCCATCAGGGTCTCCTCCTCCAACTGGCTAATACTGATAAAGATTCCCAGCTCGGCATTGTACTGCAACACGTTCTTCTGCAACCGTGCCAGGAAGTGACCAAAACTGCGGATACAGCAAACACGAACCACCGACTGCAACAAAGGTGGGGGGGAAAAGAGAGAGAGAAAGAGAGAGAGAAAGAGAAAGAGAGAGAGAGAAAGAGAGAAAGAGAAAGAGAGAGAGAGAAAAAGAGAGAGCACATCTTTACAAAAAGGTCAATCAGGGTAACATCCAAACATCATAAACAAGAGCAGGGCCCCTCAAGCCTTCTCCAGCACTCAGGTTACAGCCCGTCAGATTGTGGCGAATAACTCCATTCCAAAAATCAACCTTCAATATATTCAGCGATCTGAACAGCCGCCGCGCTCTGGGAGGGAGAGAATCCCAGACTCCAGACCCTCGGACAGAAGAATCTCCAACTTCCTCATTCTCAGACTGCGTGCCCCCACTACCCCCTCAGCAGCCACCCTGTCGAAATCTCCTCTCAGGACCAACTCACACCCCCTCTCACACCTCTAAACTCCCACCGGTACGGGCCCAACCGCTTTCTCCCTTCATCCCATGAATAAGTGTTTGTAAATTCAGTCAGGGAGACGTGCACAGTGCACGGTAGGCTGAGTGTGGTCTCATCAATCCCCCTGTAAAGCTATTTCTGCTCTAACATGTGTTCCATTATCACAAATTGGCTGTAACGCGATGGATGAATAGTGGACGCTGCTTGGATAATGCGATTTTTCTACAGTACAATATAGCCATTTCCCTATAAGGCAATTTTCTAGGGCAGTTTTTCGATAGCACAAGATCACACAAGAACGCAACTATTGTGCTATAGAAGAACTAACAACTGCGACGAGGGGTGGGGGTGGTGAAGAGAGAGAGAACGAAGACTGAGAAAATTTCATCGAAACACAAAATCCTGATGGGACTGGACAAGTCCTGATGTTGGGGAAGCCCAGAACGAGGGGGTCACGGTCTAAGAATCAGGGGTAAGCCACTCAGGACTGAGCTGAGGAAGATTTTCTTCACTCAAGAGAGTTGTGAACCTGTGGCATTCTCTCCCGCAGGAAGCTGTTGGGGCCAGATCGTTAGACGTATTCATGAGGGAATTGGACGCGGCCCCTGAGGCTAAAGGGATCGACGGGTATGGGGAGAGAAAGCGGGAGCAGGAGACTGAAGTTGCAGCACCATCATATCAATAGCAGTGTGGGCTGAATGGCCTGCTCCTGCACCTATTTTCTACATTTCACTGAGAGCAGACATCCTGCCTCCGCCATTCACAGCTCATCTACGCCAGCCCTCTGGCTCGTTATTCACGGATAACGCTTTACGGCCTGCAGCCGCTGCGTCGGTTAACAGCTCGTGTTTTCCCCGGGCGCTGCCCCTCCGAGCCCCCTCACCTCCTCCAGCGTGCTCTCCGTCAGGCTGATCTGCTCAGCCTTCAGCTTGCGATGGGCAGTGCGCAGCACGGGAAGGTAGCGGAGTGCCATGTCTTCGGGCAGCAGCACGGCCTGGACCAGGTCAGGCTCCTCGCAGTGGTTCAGCAGTCGAACGATGCCCTCGCGGAAGGTCAGGCCTCGGGTGGGACCGTGTCAGAGGGACAGGGCAAGGAAACAAACACAGGGAGAGAGAGAGAGAGAGAGGCGTGACATTTACAAAACAGCATAGCAACTGGTGCGAAACGGCTCAAGGCATCTCGCGGGCACCCTCACGTGTTCCTGCCTGAGGTGTGCATCTGTCTGACACTCTGTGTGAGCAAGACCCCACGGGAGCGAGACCCCATTCTCTCCCCCACCCCATTCCCTGTGGGAGCGAGTCCCCCATTCTCTCTCTGTCTCCCCCCCCCACCACTCCCCGCGGGAGCGAGCCCCCCATCCTCTCCCCCCCCACTCCCCGCGGGAGCGAGTCCCCCCATTCTCCCCAAGTTCTGTGGGTGAAGATACCCCACTGGAATATTTCAGAGGCCGCCTAATAAGATTAGCCCCCTAGTTCGAGTTCCCTTCCCCAGAGAACAGGACCCTTCTCCACTTCTATCCAAATGAGCCCCTTTCAGAATTTTAAAGGGTTGGGCACAGTAAGGCAGAAAAGAGAGATTGAGTGGGGATGGTGACGGAGGAATCGGACGACAGAAATCTCAAAACCTGAGGCAAACGACCTCGCTTCTCCTCGGATGCTGTCTGACCTGCTGTGCTTATCCAGCTCCAACATTTTACCGATTGATGCAAACTACAGATGCTGTACGGCGGGCAACGCACCGGCCTCCAGGCCCTTTCTTCAGGACGTGGGCTCAAATCTCACCAGGGCCCCAGCCAGGGTTTACGAATAAAATCACGGGTTGCAAGCTAGCCTCGGCGACGGCAGCTGTGACAACCACCACCGCCAGATATCGAACCATCGGCGCAGGGCGGTCCCACTGAGTGAGGGAAGAAAATCTGTCGCCCTTACCCGGCCTGGGCCTACAGGTGACTCCAGGCACCCGCGCACTAGCCCCCCCACCCCCACCCCCAACCCCAACCCCCAACACAGGATTGGCTCTTAACTGCCCTCCAAGACAACCCGGGGGGTTAATTCGAGACTGGCAATAAGCGTGACCCAGGACAGGACAGTCCAACGAAAGGCGAGCTCCAAGAGTCCGCCATCGTGAGTCACGACCCTACGCCATTCCGCCCCAGTCAACACTCCCCTCCCGACACCTAAAGCCGCCCTCCTCCAGTGTATGCATACCTGGCTCCCTCATCTTGCTTCCTTCCGGCAACATGTTCAACAGCACAGACAGGCGATTCCACAGACTCTGGGAGCTCTGCGAGAGACCGGAGGGGGTGGGGGGGTGGTTAGAGACCGCGACTGAACCGACTCGGGGAAACAACGGATAACGCAGA